TCAACCACTTTGTTGCAGTAAAGATAAAATATTTTGACAGCAAATGCTATTCTGATAAAATGGAATTTTCAATTACTCTGTGAACATCTGGTCCTTGCTACAATTTCTGGAGCCTAGCAGCACACTGCTTTGCAATGTCACAAGAGAATTCCCTGTTTTGCCAAGAGATTAATAGAAATGAGTGTTTGGAAATTTAGTGAGGTGAAAGGTAAGTCAGAGGGAAAGATAAGGAAATAAATAAAGATGTGCAGTCACTGAATCATAATTTCATTAAAAGACTAGAGAAAATGAAATTTTTCACACTGTTCAAGTGTTGAGGGTGCAAACATATTAATATACTTGTGGTTGATAATAGTCTTTGCATGAAATGAAGACTATGGCACATTTTCATGGCAATGTTGTGGCAGCAGGCACATTCAGTGTACAGGAAGTTCTCATTCATGTTTTACACTGAAAATATTTAAGTGATGAGTTTCATGGACAAACAAGTAAAATGTACAACTTAATGCTTCCCTGCTAAAACTTCTTCCCCAAATAAAACAATGATTATCTGGCATTTGGGTGTTTTTGGATGTGAGAAGCAGATTGTCACTATAAATTTCTGTGTATTATTTCTATTTGATACCAGTTAGCATGGGAAGGAAACCAAGTCAGTATTGTAGTGAGCTCTAAAGTAGGCACATATTAGACCAATTACACTCATTTTTTCAGTAGATGAATTTATAATCAGTAATTACAATTGTAAAGAAGGAAATTGAGTGTGATTTTGAATCAATTTACTTGGACTTGGAACTAGTATGATGTTCTAAGATAAGATCCCCATAAACTTTAGTTTTAAATCCATATTACACATTTAAGCATATTGCAATATCCACATCACCACAAATGTCCTTGCAAAAAAAGCAAAAGTCTACTAAACTCAGCACTATTCATCTCAAGGAAAAATTTGCTAAAGAGAAATTGAATCTTGTAATATCCTCAATTAGATAATATAATCATGAGCCTCACCCATTTCCCCCCACCCAATTTTCAATTTTAGGCATTAAAGGAATCAGGTTCTTATCTTCTCAAGAAGGTGGTAAATGTGCTGAATAAAATCAGATGAGGAATGCACTGGTTAAGATATGTGATTGGTCTTTTTGCCAGCCCACAAAAGAAAAAGATCCAGGTGGTTCTGATGGGACCTGATAGGCTAGGGTCAAAAATTAGAGGAAGAGGACTTTCCTTATCGGTGGACTAGGGGAGAGGGATAGGGGAGCAAGAGGGAGTGGGGTGGTACCTGGAGGAGATGAGGGAGGTACTACAACCAGGATACACAGTGAATAAATCATAAAATAATAATAATAATAATAATAATAATAAACGAAAAATAAGGGACAGAAAGAAAATCAGTGAAAACATAATGAATAAAATGAAAAGAGAGAGAGAGAGAAAGAGAGATGTGATCTGGATGCCCAAGCTCAGCACCAAATCATCTTAGGAGCTCATTTAGAAGAGAAGCTTTAACAGATGTGACAACACTTACTTGTTCTCAAGGTATTTTGAGACCAACTGAGACATAATATTTTAAACAACACAGTGTGTCAGGAGGAAACACTGGATAATGGAAGCCCCATTATCTTCCTTTCCAGAAAGCCACAACAAGATCCACAGGACTAAGGGACAAATCTAGATAGGCCATGTTAATTCATGGGCATGATGGATGGCAAATAAATTTTGAATTCTGTAGCCACCAAGGAAGTAAGCTCAGCAAGTTCGCCCACCACCTGACCTAATTTCAAACTTAAGAGAGGTGCCATGGTTGATAGAGATGTAGAGAGCAGAGATTCTTGTTATTCCTGTGTTGCCATTTTGACCCAGCCCACAAATAGTTTTGTGTGAAGTAATCAAAACACAATCCAAATGCTACAGTAATTGAACATCCAGGTTTTGTCTTCTGAATTTCAGTCTTTTAAGTAGTCTCCTTCCTTTATTGAACATAATGATTCTGGGGTTTTATGCCTAGAAGGATTCTCATAGAAAAGCTATTGAAAAATAAGATATTTGGACCTATACTCAAGACTGAAAACTCCCTTGTCATTCACACTGAGCATTCTAAATGTTGTAGCAAAGTTATAAAAGCAAATACTGAAGAAACTTAGGACATTACAATGAAGCCTGCGTCTCTACTGTTTCTCAAAATGAGTGGACCAAATATAATTTGTACCTCCGTAAATATTGACAATACAATATGAGAACATATAACAAGCCATTTCTGACTGCTCAAGGAAAAAATAATGGGTGCATAAAATCTTTTTTATCCTGAAAAAAAATCTTTTTTTTTCCTGGGATTTCTCATCAAATACATGTTTCCACATGTGCAGAAAAAGAGGTCATACTAATGTTAATAGCCATAAGTCATAAGAAAGACCCACAGTTATGACACCCAAGGTGAACCAAACTCCCCAATACAGTGGTATAAGACTTTAACCTTTATTGGTTGCAGTTGGTACAATGTTACAATGGTTTTCACAAACAAAAAGAAGTGTCAGATTCAAAGTTTTGTCTGGAATTCAAGATCAGGCATGCATGTTGAATTCTCTCAGTGAATGCCTTTCGACTAGTGAGCCTTAAGATAGGATACACTTACATGAATGTAGGTTTAAGACAATAAACACTATAAAAAAAACTTTGGAGTGCTAATAATCAGCCCAAGTTAGTTGGTGTCACAGTTCTTGTGGCAAGTCTGAGTTGACTTGAGATATACAGTTACATATTATTACAAAACCATCAGAAACTGTAGGGTATCACGAGGTAAAGACTGAGATATAAACAAGAATTCAGTTTATTTTGCTATTTAAACTAAAAAGGACCAGCTGAAGATTTGGTTTAAAGTTTAACCATTGCTGGAACAATAAAAAATATGAAAATATGAGCATGTAAATAAATACCAAATACCAAATTGTAAATAAAATACCAAATTGTAAAAATGTTGTCAAAATGATATAGAAAAATGTGTGCCTATGTGTACGAATGTGTATGAAAACATCGTTTTTTTTTTTCTTTTTTTCTTTTTTTATGTAAGGGATTCTTTGGATACTGTCACATATGTGTTTTCTAATATTCTCGCTGTTAACTCGGTCTACACCATACATAATGCAACCCATAGGTAAGAAACACTCAGAACCTCTAGCTTCAACCCAGTGATACTGTTTTCCTAGAGAAATGTGACAAAAATTAAGATATTGGTATAGCCAGGCATATAGTGATGATCAATTATGACTGTTTAGTTTCCTAGAGTCATTTCATTTTAGAGAGCAGCTAACAGAAAACCTTTCTGATCTAAAAAAAGAAAGCATTTCTTTGAGATACACATGAGTAGGAAATGATACGTATCTGTCTGTATCCTCTGAGAATTAAATTGCTTCTGATTCAGCTATATAAATGTTGAATTTTTTTCATCCTCATCCATACAGTAACATTTCCCAGAAAGTATATTATCTCTGCCTATGTCACCACTCACCAATTAAGAAAAGAGATAGGGTACAATTGGTAGTGACCTCTCTATAGTATAGACTCTGACATTTGAATCTCCTGAGAAGGGAATGGATTAGACAATTTAATAGAATTTACAGTGGCTAATTTTTTTTTTCATGAAAAACATTTTGTTTTGTGAATCATGCACTTTTTGATTCATTTAGTAAACCAAAACAAAAGAGTTTAATGATTTTTACAGTAAAATGAGACAGCTGAAGACCAGCACATAATCACCATATTTTGTTTTCTCATCTTTAAGACTTTTAGCAGTAGGGCTTCCAGCTGAGCATGAGACTAGCTTTTCTCAAGACATAACCAAGCATTCTGAAGCTTCACTGAACGTAAACACCAAATTGAATTCATACTTCTTAATTGGAAAAGACAGGGTTTTTTTTGCATACTATCAGTAAAATATTGAAAATGACATTTGTGCCCAAGTCCATATGAGCAATCTGCCTCAGCTCATTTCTGCTAGTGTTTTAATACAGTGATTTTTGCCTAGCACAGTTTTAAAGAGCACCAATTTCACAGATGTGAACTGAGTGGTGGCTCTTTGATCACCTCCCCCTGAGAGGGGAGCAGTCTTTCCAGGCCACAGTGGAGGACAATGCAGACCAGTCCTGATCAGACCTGATAAGCTAGGGTCAGATGGAAGGGGAGGAGGACCTCCCCTATCAGTGGACTTGGAGAGGAGCATGGGAGGAGATGAGGTAGGGAGGATGGGATGGGGAAGGAAAGAGGGAGGGGGCTACAGCTTGTATACAAAAGGAGTAAACTGTAATTAATATATAAAAATAAAAATTTAATTTAAAAAAGGGCACCAATTTCTAAAAGTACTTGTGTCTGAGTTCATAAAAATGCATTCTCTTCATACATAAGGATATGGCTCCTCACATGTGTTTTGAGACTCATTTCCCTATAACTAGTTTTGTATTGACTCAGTCACATTCTCTTAGCCTGTCTCTCCTGTAAGCAATCACACTGACTTCTGCAGTAGCTCCACGGCTTTGGAATAGCAGCGTTGTAGGTAAAATGGAAAGTCTAGCATATTCTATCCTCAGGAAAGACTACATAATCTGGAGGCAGAAAAGAGTCTCTGGAGTAAGCTATCCAGACCAGTAGAGAAATAAACTCCACCCCTCTGGTCTCATTGGAGTTGTGTTCTTTGTAATCTAATTGATCAGTTGAATTCATGCACTGTAGCATAAATAGCCATTTACTCCTGGTGAGAAAGCATCTGCTTACTTCCTATCTGCTCATTGCTGTTATTATTAAAGATACTGTAGAAGCTCTCAGATTATAAAATGCCCCCCAACATTACACAAGGAGGTAGACTTATAGTAACACCTCAAAACTCTATAGATGCTGCTAACATGTGAACTAACTAATAACATATGGGCTGCAGTAAAGTAGTGCAATGTACCTAGAAAGACTCTGGCTACTTTGGAACACATGGTTCCAACTTAAAATTGTCCAGACCTTACCATGGTCAGGCATCTGAGATCCCATGGAGGTCACGCTGGTGTTCAGCACATCATTCACAGCAGTATCACAGTACAGGCTCCTCTGGACATCATGCTCACTGTCAGTCTGGTCACTCTCCTCATGCCCACTATCCTTCAGGCTGTTGCCCTCTAGGTCCTTGAAGGTGGAACTGCTGGGATGAAGAAAGCATGTTAATTTACAACTGTGATATATCTGATTTTTAAAGTCTTTCCTAGCCAGGATGATGTCAGCTCTGTAAGAAGGCCAGGAGTGGCTAGATTGTCCAAAAGGGTAGAAATATGGATGAGAGACATTTCTGTTAGAAGATAATGAAACTTAATAATACAAAGAGATTTTCATTATTGGATACTGATACAGCTATTTTTTTTTTCATTTGCTTCTTTATTGTGCATCATGGAAGGCAAGGTGGTTGGAGATCAGAATCTAAAACCATTTTTAAAAATGTCATTTCCCTTTTTTTCTATTCTTACACAATTAAAGTCAAATAGAAATAGCTAATGTTTTCTGAGAAATTACTGTTTGTGAGTTACTGTTTTAACTTATAGTCAACTTAATGTTAACTTAATGTTCAATATTAACTTTCTAAGCGATACTGGATGTGTAAGGAAAGGTGCTAATATTATTCCTATTTATAGATGAGATAACAGAGATGTGTAAAAGTTAAATAATATGCCCAAGGTCACACTGCTGGCACAAAAAAAGTGTAGCACATCTAAGATCAAACCTAGTTTGTCAAATTTCAGTGCTTAAATCTTAACTATTATGTAACTTGCTTCTCTAGAGATATCTACTAATCAGAAACAATAAAAAGCAAAAATGGCAGAAATAGAGGTAGTATAATTAAAATTAAAAGAATGATCAGGGTTGGAGAAACCAGGTTAATCTTTTCCTTGTATGATTACTTGTTCTGTTTTTGAAATGATCTCATTCTGTACTTCAGGGTGACGTGGAACTTGATATATATCCCACACTGATCTTTGAACTTGTGATTAAGCCCCTTCGACAGTCTCTTCCTGAATCCAGAGAGTACAAATCTAAACTACCACATCTGGCTTCCTTGCCAGTTTTGAGTAAAAAGAGCAAAGGAATTAGTTCAAAGAAAAGGTGAGGAAACCACTGGTGCATGGACAATGTTTGAGCTAATTTTATATGTCTATTTGACTATACCATGGATGATCCAGGTAGATAGTTAAGCCTTATTTCAGAATGTGTCCTTGAGTGTGTTAGCTGAAGAGATTAGCATTTAGATTGAAGAACTGAGTAAAGGATGTATCTTTTCCAGTGTTGGTTGGACTCATCCAATCCACTGACGAAGGTCTGAAAAGAACAATAAGCAAAATGTTGAATATCCTTTCTGCTTGAACTGGGACATCAATATTCTCCTATATTAAGAGTTCTTCATTTTCAGGCTTCCAGGCTGACAGAAATCTCTAGAACTGGTTCTCTAATTCTCAGGTTTCCATATTATAGCATCAGCTGCTCTGGCCTTCTAGCTTACTGAAGACAGAGCAAAAAAAAAAAAAATTCTTAAGACTATACAACTGCATGACTCAATGTCTTAAACTTTGAACATTTACAGGTCTGCCTCTCAGAGACATTGAAATGTTCACTATATGTGATGATGTGCTATGCCATGGACACAAGGATACACTGGTACTCTGCACATTTGTTCTAGAAGAAGCACATAAAATTAACACATAACCAACTGGGAGGTATGTCCAAATCACCTTCTGTTGAGAACAATGTTATGCATTCTTTCACCAGTATTCTGTAACATAGTGTGCAAGAAAAAGCACCTAATTTGGAGTCATTAGGGCAAGTGATAACATGCATTCTGCCAATTTGTTTGGCTCTGGGCTCCATATCCAATCCTTGAACTCTTTGCTTTGATAAAGCTTTCCTCAGAAGACCATTCTAGGAGATCAACAGAGACAAAACATCAGGGACTGGGGGGTAGGGGCGGCAGAGACAGATACATGGAGAAGACCTAGAAACTCTGCTCAGATGTATGTAGCCCATAAGCAGCTCACTCTCAATATGCGCTACCTTGTAAGGGGAGCAGGAGTTGTCTCTGACATGGACTCAGTGACCAGCTCTTTGACCTCCTCTTCTTGCAGGGAGGGAGAGTAGCCTTGACAGGCCACAGAGGAAGATGATGCAGTCATTCCTAATGGGAACTTATAGGCTAGGGTCAGATAGCAGGGGAGGAGGACAACCCCTATCATTGGACTAGAGGAGGGACATAGTGAGACTGGGAGGAGATGAATGAGGGGAATACAGCTGGGATATAAAGTGAATAAATTGTAATAAATAATAAATAATTTTTAATAAAAAGAAGAGCATTCTAATGACTCAGTAAGATAATTTGCATGATGGACTGGATCTAGGGTCCCTTCACATATTTAACAGGTGTAGTAGATATAGCTTGCTCTTTATGTGGATCTTCCAGCAACTGGAGCAGAAGCTCTCTCAAACTCTGATGTCTCCATTTGGATCCCATTCCCCTAAATGAGCTGCCATATCTTGTCTCAGTGGAAATGGATGCGCCTAGCCCTGCAGTGATTTAATATGTAAATGTGAGTTGGTACCCATGGTAATCCTCCTTCTCTGAGGAGAAGGGGAGGAGAGAATGTGGAGGAGGGGTATGCGAGAGGGGACTAGGAGAATAGGGGCTACACTCAGGATGTAAAGCGAATAAATAAATAAATTTTTAAAAAGGAAAAAAGATACATTGCATGAAGAGGCAGATAGAAATAGATGTTCAATGAAATTATCATTATGAAATATGATCACTATTCTGTGTAATACCTCATATTACAAATAAATAGTATGGCCATAGTATTTTATGGGATTGGTATAAGAATTTTTATATTTATTTAATCAGTATTTCTATCTTCGGTAAACAATTGTCAGCCAATGTCCATTATGCCATTTTTCCTAAACTTCGAGAACAGAAAAATATCTCTCCTACCAAATATGTGTCCTTGCTTTTTTGAATGATAAAGGCTGTATGACCTGATGCACTTTTCACTTTGGCTTAGCTTCTCAATACCTTCAAAGTAAGAATAATGTTTACAGGGTCAGATGAAAAGGGAGGAGGTCCTTCCCAATCAGTGGACTTGGAAAGGGGCAGGGAGGAGATGAGGGAGGGAGGGTGGGATTGGGAGGGAATGAGGAAGCAGGATACAGCAGGGATAAAAAGTTAACAAACTGTAACTAATATTAAAAAATAAAAAATAAATTTAAAAAGAGTTAAAAAAAAGAAAATCAAAACAAAAAAGAATAATGTTTAATTGCACTGAGTTATCTCCCTGGAAGCTGGTGATCTCTATGACACTTCACCTAATTGCTTTTCAATCTGCATTTTTAAAATTTCGTTTTCCATTTTGTATTCATCAGAATGCTGCAACCCACCTCTGGGCTTCTGAAGGCTTTTTTTTTTTTCAGGTAAAAGAGAAAACTAAACTGTGAAGGATTACCTGACATGATCTAAGGAACAGCTGGGTGAGTAAAAGTAGAAAAAACAAAGGTATAGCCACTACTCCCTCAAACCTCAGATAGTTAATTCATTTAAAGATCAGTTTGCCCATCTGACAAACTAAGTACTGCTTACTGTGATCTTGTAAGGACATTTAGTGGCTTAATGAATGGATTTGTGTAAGGCAGTTTAAAAACCATTGAACAAGATGCTGCAAACAGTAAAACAGCCTGGTAAATGGCTACTACCCAAAACAAATAACAATTTATGCCATGCATTAAAAAATGCTGATTTCACTTGCTTTATTACCTGTGTACCTCTTGGGAGATGAGAGACTTGTAAAACAACTTTTGTGGGACAATAAATTAAGGAGACCTGTTTCTAATGGTATTGTAAATGAAAATGTTTCTATTACTGCTCTGGTGGCCAGCAGGGGGACAAGTACATTTTAAAAAGCCTGTAACAGCCATCTGCTTATCTGTAACCTTCACTGTTTGCACCTAGCTAAAGCAATAAGACAACTAAAGGAGATCACAGGGAAACAAATCGGAAAGGAAGAAATCAAATTATCACTGTTTGAAGATGATATGATAGTATACATGAGCGACCCCAAAAATTCAACCAGAGAACTCCTTCAGCTGATTAACACCTTCAGCAAAGTGGATGGATACAAAATTAACTAACTAAAAAAAAAATCAGTAGCCCTCCTGTATAGGAAAGACAAAGGTCTGAGAAGGAAATCAGGGAAACTACACCCTTCACAATAGCCGCTAATAACATTAAGTGCCTTGGTATTGCTCTAACCAAGCAAGTGAAAGACCTGTTTAAAAAAAAAAAAAACTTCAAGTCTCTGAAGAAAGAAATTGAAGAAGACATCAGAAGAAGGAACAATCTCCTGTGCTCATGGATTGGTAGGACTAACATATTGAAAATGGTAATCCTGCCAAAAGCAATCTACAGATTCAATGCAATTCCCATCAAAATAACAATACAGTTCTTTACAGAACTTGAAACAACAATTCTCAATTTCATATGGAAAAAAAAATCCAAAACAAAACCAGAATAGCTAAAACAATCCTGTATAATAAAAGATCTTCTGGAGTTATTTCTATCCCAGACCTCAAGCTGTACTATAGAGCAACAGAAATAAAAACTGCAGGATACTGGCGTAGAAACATACTGGAAGATCAATAGAATTGAATCAAAGACCCAGATATAAATCCACATACCTACCAACACTTAATTTCTAACGAAGAAACCAAAACCATATCCATACAATGGAAAATGGAGAGCATCTTCCACAAATGGTGCTGGTCTAAACAGATGTCTACATGTAGAAAAAATGCAAATAGACCCATACCCTGAACAAAACTAAACTCCACCTGGATCAAAGTTATTAGCATAAAAGCTGACACACTAAATCTATTGGAAGAAAAAGTAGGGAAAAGACTTGAATTGGCACAGGAGACAACTTCCTGAACAGAACACCAACAGCACAGGCTCTAGGATCAACAATCAATAAATGGGACTTCATGAAACTGAAAAGCATCTATAAAACAAAGAACACTATTATCAGAACAAAATGAGAGCCTACAGACTGGGAAAGGAACTTCACCAAACCTATTTCTGACAGAGGGCTAATATCTGGAATCTATAAAGAACTCAAGAAGTTA